CAGTGAGCTGAAATCACACCATTGTGCTCTAGCCTGGGCGACAGAGCAAGACTCTGTTCTCAAAAAAAAAAAAAAGCTGGGTGCAGCTGTGTGTACTTGTAGTCCCAGCTCCTGGGGAGGTTGAGGTGGGAGAATCACTTGAAACCAGGAGTTGAGTCCAGCCTGGGCAACACAGTGAGCCTCTGTCTCTAAAATACACACAAAGACTCAGACACTCTTACTTGGGGAAGCAGGAACCAGTTTGCTTTTCAAAGTTAGCAGTGAACCAAAGCACAGTTCCTAAGATAGTTTCAAGCTAAAGCAGGACTTCCATATTGTGGTTTTGAGCCAGCCCTTCCTTCCCCAGCCCCTTGTCGCCCAGTAAATCAACTTAGGGATTATTAAGACAGCAGCACAAGCTTAAATGGCAACAATCCACAAATCTGCTTCAACTTCTGAAACCCAACATTTGTACTAGGCTTTTGTGTTAAAAAAAAAATCATTTGACATTTCTGATTTTTGTGAGAACTAGCTTGCTTAGTAAAAATTTTGAGGTAGGTGACTAGAGACATTGTATTAGTGTGTTCTCACACTGCTATAAAGAACTACCTGAGACTGGGTAATTTATGAAGAAAACAGGTTGAATTAACTCACAGTTCCACAGGCTTAACAAGAAACATGACTGGGAGGCCTCAGGAAACTTACAATCATGGTGGAAGGCAAAGGGGAAGTAGGCACATCTTCACATGATGGCAGGAGACAGAGAGAAAAGGAGTAAGTGCTACACAATTTTAAACAACTAACTCTCCTGAGAACTCACTCATTATCACAAGAACAGCAAGAGGGAAACCTACCCCCATGATCCAATCACCTCCTACTGGGTCCCTCCTGCGACAGTGGGGATTACAATTCAATGTGCTATTTGGGTGGGGACAGAGTCAAACCACATCAGAGATCTTATTTTGGTATTAAGAAAATCCATATAAAACTGATCAATAGTAGTGTCTTGTTAGCCTACCCTTCTCAGTCTCGCCTACCAGAAAGGCCTCCTGAGAATGGCTGCAGAGGGCGAGTGTCTCCTTACTCCTTCCTTATTCTTGCAAAGCAGTGCTCTCTCTCTCTTCTCTGCACACCTAAGCTTGAAACTCTTTAAAGCCAGGGAAATAATCTGATGTTCGTATTTCCTGATTTAGCTTGGCACAATGCCCTACGATCAAGTGCTTGCTTATTTTTCAATTGGGAGTGTCTTTTACATAGGAAGATAAAAATACAGAATTCTGACGCTAAGTAACTGCTTACATAGGGATACTTCCGAGACCAAGGAGCCTAACTAAACAAGAATGTAAACGTGGCTTCCTATGTTCATTAGCTCTATTATTGGTAACACTTTTTCAGACTGAACCATTTTATTAGAACAAGGCTTCTATTCAGAAAAAGCTGCTTAGAATCTTCTTTGCTTAATAAGTGAGGTCAAATGATATTAAGATATAAAAAATGAGCCTGCAGAATCCTCTTCTATTTCTAGTCAACACTGTCATCAATCCACACACAATTAAACAGATAGGAACAATTTATAGGAGTTATCTTCCAATTGCAACAATTCCCATTGGTAATAGAACTGAAATGCTAACCACTTGGCAGACTTCACTGAAAAAAATTTCAGGTTGGGCAGTTGGGATAAAATCATGACTCAACACTTGCCAAATCCACCCTCATTTACCTACTCGCAGCATTACCTCCCCCAAATAGTTCCTCAAATAAAAAACCAGATGAGTCAAATCCCAAAACCACTTGGCTGGAGTAACCAAGTTTGGGGGTATGAGCCACAGACCAGAGACACTTGTTATCTGCTCTTCTATTTTCTTGATGGGTAGCAGATGTGCTCTTGCCAACCAGCTATGCAAAGAGTTGATAGTGAGCACAAGACATTCCAGAAAACGGCTTGAGCAGCAGGTCTTTGGAATAATAGTTCTATCAGTACAAAACCACTGCAGCTTAGAACCAACCACAACTACAGATTCATCTGTCCTGAATATATAGTTTGCAGTTTCTTGCATAACTTACCAAAAATTAAAACCTTATGTTTGGCAAGTTGTATCCAATCCATCAATCCTCTGTGGTTATTGCTACCATGTCTTCCTTCTTTTACTGATAAACCATTCTCTTCCTTCTTTAGGAGGAAGTCCAAGTTTGATATATTAGAGACCCTGGCCTATTGCCCTACTTGGGATGTTATTTGATGGGCAAAGTGGGGTGGCTATAGTGAAATATATTTGAAAAAGGTAAAACTAAGTTTTAAATCGTTTCCTATAAGCAGAACTGCTCAGACTCTTTATTATAATAATGTACATAAGTTTCCAAGGGGTAGGGGAATAAAGTACATAGTATGTGCAAAGCTTATTTCTCATACCATTTTCATGGAACACTTTGTGGGATAAGGGTTTGATGGAACACACGGGGAAGTCCTGGGTTAGGTACATGTTGGTTTTTATAGGCGGGCATGGTTCTTGACTTGTTAAGACGTATTCTATGAAAAAAATCATGTTACGAGCTTGAAACAGTCTGCTAAGAAACAAACTTGCAAAACACAACCAAATGACATGCATTCATCTCCAGCCACTGGCTATTTGTGCTTTTGAGTGATTTTTCCTAGATGGCACACAAACTGCAAACAAAATTAAATTATTTCCATTTTTTCAGATTTTAAAAAATCCCAGAAGCTCAAACACCTGAAAAATGCTACTCCTAAAGCATACAGTTATGTATCAATAATCCATATACATTTATTTGTAAGGTACAATTTCTAAAATGTTTTCTACATCTAAAAATGTATGAATAAAGACCATGAAATTTAGATTTGGATTTAAATCCTGTCATTTAGCATATGTGAGGCACTAAAACTATTAATATGTAAGTGACCAAGAGCATTTTCCTCACTTACAAAGTGTAGATAAGAATGCTTGCTTTGTGTGGCAGTTTTGAGGATTAGATGTAAGGGACTGAGCACAATGCCACTACGAATAAAAAAACTACTCTGCCACAACGTAATCCATGATCCACTCCTGGTATCCAGAACACTTGGTCAATGGATTATGGTCTTGAGATAGTTAAGTAACAATAAAACAAAATCCACACACAGGCAATTGTCATATTATTGTATTTTATTACAGTATGTGTAGTGTATACTAACTTAAAGGGAAAAAAATGTAAACAAAATGAAAGTCATTGAGAAAATGGCATCTTGCTTTAATCTTCAACTGAAAGCTACCTTTAACAATCCATGTATACCATTATGTCAAATTTTAGTCTTCTCTGCAGAATTTTAGACAAATGAAAATGGACAATGTAACACCAAAGAGTTAAGCACAGAAAGCGATACTGATCAAAAAGCTGAAAGTAAAATCTACCTTGGCTAGAACTGAACATTCAGATCTGTCTCTCCAGAGGAAAATCTAACTTGAATCATAACGGTTCATATTTTGACTAGTTCATACCCTATCAATTAGCTACTTATGACTTGAACATACCTTTTCTCAGCTGCACCTGACAACCTAAAACCCCACTGGGCAATGCTGCTTGGCATGTCTTACTCCTCTGAAATCATCTACTTTCTAAAAACCAGAAAACGAGTTCGCTTGTGATTTAAATTTCAAAAAATAGTTGGTAGAAAACACAAAAAGAATCAACCGTTTAAAGTCTTATCCTTTCCTTCACTCTACAACAGCTACTTCTACAAAAAAAAAAAAAAGAGTATGTGGATACTTTCTAAGAACTCAGAAACAAGAAAACCAAAATCAGAGGGTGCATGAATATATGTGCACTTATACAGACTGAATCTCTAATCCCCCAAGACAGATTTAAACAGGTAATCCCAACATTCCAAATTCAGAAAGCAGAGATAAACAGTTTTGTTTCTAAATCAGTGGTATTACTAGCTGAAATGTTTAGTAGAATACTGCACTTATAGTTCAGCAGTACTTTGATTATATGTCATTTAAAAAATCAAAATAATAACCATATTCCTCTAACAGCAAAGAATTCTCCCACTTTTTATTTTGAAACACTGGTATTTCCATAAACCTGCAAGTGGAAGATAAGCTGTTCAATAAAAGCCTTCATATATATGCATATATATACATATATATATATAAAATACAGACATTATTTTAGAAGTCTGTTCTGTTCATATAACAGATTATTTTGGTACTAACAAAAATTGTATACAATCCATCAATTGTATGGCTAGAAATGAAACCATCACTAAACCAAGACACACAGGGCTTTCCTGCACTTTGTTTAAGGAAAAAATTCCACATAATTCTTACTGTGTTAGAAGAATAAAGTACATTTGTCATAGTATACATTATCGTATTCCCTTAAAGCAGGGACTATTTAAAGTTTTTAAATTAAACAATGTCCAGGCTTACTTCTGTCTGTACATTCAGGAATAATCATGTCACTGGTTACATACAATTCTCATGCAAAAAAAAAAAACCTCAAAAAACAAACAACCCCTCAGTTGTTTTCTTAAGTCTAATTAAGCCAAACTAATAATAGCAATTTAATTAGTAAGCTTAAATCAGAGAGGTATAGAAATTCAGCAGTTAAACTGTTATTTCCTGCCTATAGTGCTGCTGCTACTCAATCTATTTTCTTCACGTGTAGAAGAATTCATAGGCATCGATGGTCAAAGTAAGAATTTCAACATTGCAGCAAACAACAGAAGAGTGACAAAGTCCCTAATGTCGTGACAATCTTAATGACCTTTAAAAGGTAAAGGATTGTGTGCGTGTGTGTGGAAAGGACTCTAGGAAATAAAAGGTAAAGGATTGTGTGTGTGTGTGTGTGGAAAGGAGTAGGAAATAAAAGGTAAAGGAGTGTGTGCGTATGTGTAGAAAGGAGTAGGAAATAAAAGCAGGAGGTTAAGACCGGTATTTAAAGGGAATGGTGAGATAGCTACATTAGAATATTTATTTTTTAAAAAACTGCTCTGAAGTCTGCCCAGTGTACCAAAAAGGTTAAAAAAAAAAAAAAAGAAAGAAAGAAACCCAAAAAACAGAGCAGACATTGGTGAAAGTTTAACCTGATAATTTATTTGTGGGGAAAAAAGCTAGTTTTGATGAGAAAAAGTTCAGTCCTTTCCTTGTAAATACAAAGAAACTCAACAGGAATTTTAAAGGTAGTAGGCCAGAAAATGCGACAGTAACTCTTATACTTCTTTTCAATTAAACAGATAAATCAAGTTGAAGACGAGTGTTAAAATACTATTCAGCCTGAATATTTATCAGTCTATATATCCTGTTGTTCAATTGGCTTTTGATTTAAAAAAAACAACAGATCAACAAACTTTATAAGAGCTACCACCACAGTTAAGAGTGATGAAAATAAATTAGTCCCCCCCCCGGAAAGATACTGTTTAACTTCTAAAGCATAAAAAGCTATATATCTTATACAAATTAACCAGTGTTTTTACAAAAGTAATGCAGTTTTGGACTGATGATATTACACTGTATTTGTGGTAAAGTACTAGGCACAAGAATATATATATCAATTAGGCATTTTCAGTCTAATCAGTCTCTAAGTTTACCATTTAATTCTTGGCAATATATAATAACTGGTATGCATTTTGGTACTTAAGTCATGAATTGTGGAGAGCAAGAAGCAATGTATTACAGTCACAGGGTTTATATCTAACAAACAATTGCAGTGTTGAACAAATCTCTTCTATGAACTTCGTAATTTGTTTTGCTGTTGGTCACTTGGAGTAGATCCTGCAAAGATAAAAGAAAAAGTCAACATAAATTGTTATATTTTGTCAACCCCGGCTAAAGTTCCCTTCTACTAGCATGCGTGATAAGCAAATATAAAAATTTTAAAAACAAATAAGGTGTATTTCATGTAGGCTGATTTAGACTGAAATAGAAGAATCTATATACTCCCTTAAATAGTCTAAAGAACAGAAGTGTCTACTTTCTGATAAACAGGTTTCAGATTGAACATTTCTGTAAATCACAGTTGGAAAGGTAAGAGTTTACGACAACTCAAATGTCCAGAGCTATAAAAAGATATATATTTATTACCTCAAAGCTATGAAATATCGCCTAAGAGTCCAAACATGTCATTTTTCTCCAATGAATTATGTGAATGGGGGAAGAAGGGGGGAAGGGAGGAGACTGACATTGTCCAAAAACTAATGGGTTCTATAGAACTCAGAGATCTTAAAAGCTGGTAAAATGTTAAGGGCCCAAAAAGGGTAGGGGATAAATAAGGTACTTATTTCCCTAAGTCTTATCCTATTCTTGTGGGTTTTGTAATGCTAAGCAGGATATACTCCTTTGCAAGGTGTACTTATCTCCAGTTAAGAAAAATCAGGCACTGAGCTAATACAAAATTTTAATCCTCCATTAAACTTAAACAAAAAAATACATTTATGTACTAAATGTGTGAAATGTAATATCTTATAAGCAGAGACGGACAAAATGCCATAGTTATTTTTCCAAAGAAATGGCGTTAAACAAAAAACCCTACCTCTGTAACAAAAAATAAAATAAAAATGAAAATGGATAATAGAAACATACAACAGCTACTACTTAAGATGAAATTTGCTCAAATTAATATAAGTTAAACAGACGATGGAGTATATAATGGAAATGAAAGGCTATATGAAATAGACTAAAAGGCTGAAGCATATTATGGAATAACAAAAAGGACTGTGACCCTGACACTATGAGACAGTGACTCATCAGGCTGTATCATAGAATTATTCATATTTCATACAATGCTTACCAAAATGGTAATATAATAATAATTTAATTTCCTCAGACTTAACCACTCTGGGCACCACAAATAAAATGTTACACCTCCACTGAAAAGTATGAAGTTTGTAAGTACAAGGAGTAGATAGTGGGCACAAAAATTTTCTTTTTTTTTCTTTTCTTTTCTTTTTTTTTTTTGAGACGGAGTCTCGCTCTGTAGCCCAGGCTGGAGTGCAGTGGCCGGATCTCAGCTCACTGCAAGCTCCGCCTCCCGGGTTCACGCCATTCTCCGGCCTCAGCCTCCCGAGTAGCTGGGACTACAGGCGCCCGCCACCTCGCCCGGCTATTTTTTTGTATTTCTTAGTAGAGACGGGGTTTTACCGTGTTAGCCAGGATGGTCTCGATCTCCTGACCTCGTGATCCGCCCATCTCGGCCTCCCAAAGTGCTGGGATTACAGGCTTGAGCCACCGCGCCCGGCCGACAAAAATTTTCATTAGTGGTGCAGAAGATTCACCTTCATTAAATACCAGAATGACGGTTCATAAAAGTTAACTAAAGCCTATTTCCTAGGACAGATTAGGAGTTGCTAGGCTGCAGGGGCTGGGTGTCTAAGACTGAAAAATAAAAAAAAAACCAAAAACAGTTAAATAACTGTGAATCCAATAGTCAAAAGAATCCACATTAGAAAGATATGACATATTTTGTACCTAAAGGGATGTAAAAACAAATATTCCATACTAAAAACATGCTTCATTTAAAAAAATTTTAAACGTTAGATCGTTATGACAAATACAACATGACCTAAAACATTCAAAACAAAATATAGCCTAATATGAAGACAAACATCCTGGCCTAAAGGCAAGTAAACCATAAGAAAGCCATATAATAAAACATATGGTCTAAAATCAAATCAACTCTGGGTATAAAAACTTTATTATTCTGAAATTGGCCACGGGGGTTAAAATTTTAGAAGTATTTGGTATAATAAAGTGAATCTCAGCAAAATTTTGTTTTTTCACAAGTTTAAAGCAAAATAAAGTCTATGATCTTAGACACAGAGCATCACAAAAGTCTCAGTGACATTTTCCAAACATCTAACCTTGATTTGATTCTTCCGTATTCATGCTTTCTCCATCTGCAGTCTCTAACATTTCTTCATCTTCATCATCATCATGTAGGTCTTTTGAAATTAATTGTCTAGCTAGTTTGATATTGAGTCCTTCATTGTAGTGAAGCTTCCTTTTCATTTCAAATTGTCGCTTTTTTTCTATAAGATGAAAAATGTAAACTTAGGAAGTTTGATCTCAAGGATTGGCCCACACCTGTTTTATAAATAAAATTTTATTGAAACAGTCATGCTCATTTGTTTTTGTCATGCTTAAGGTTGCTTTTGTGATCAATGGCAGAGTTGAGTAGTTCGTAATAGAGACCACTGGACCTGCAAAATTTAAAATATTTACTATCTGGCATTCATCTCGATGGAAAAACAGGAATATATCCAGCCATTAGAAATTGTATTTGTGAAGAAAGATTAAAGCTATGGGAAAATCATCCAGAAAGAGTTAAATGGTGAAAAAAAAAACGAGTTACACCACCATATACTATATTTATTATGTACAATGCCTGTCACATACACACACACAGAGAAAAATAAGACTCAGCAATTAACAGTGGTTAACTCTGAGTCAAGGAACAATGAAGTAGTTTTAATATTTTATTATCTTCTATTATTATAATTAAGAAAAAATCTTTTAAAACAATTCTTACCTGTTAAGAAAGTGCCATGATTTAAGACATTGCTGGCTAAAAACATAACCTCATTTTCAGAGTAATTTTAAGAAAAACCTATTATAAAGTAATGATGAAGTGACTCCAAATTATTCTTTCATTCTAGTCTTCACCATAGAAACATAAAGCTGGCAGCAATTCAACACAACTGATCACATTTTATTAATAGTTGCTCTTTAAAGAGGAACTATTTATGAATACATCATTTTAAGGTTTTTAACTTTCCTTAGATCAGAAAATTAAAAAAAAAAAAAAAGCAACAACAGAAAAGGGGGGGCCAATATAAAATTGCCAGCTATTTAAAATCATTCACCGTTGTTTTCTTTTTTTCTCGATGGAGTTTCACTCATTGCCCAGGCTGGAGTGCAATGGTGCGATCTTGGCTCACTGCAACCTTAGCCTCCTGGGTTTAAGTGATTCTCCTGCCTCAGCCTCCCGAGTAGCTGGGATCACAGGCATGTGCCACCACTCCTGGCTAATTTTTGTGTTTTAGTAGAGATGGGGTTTCACCATGTTGGCCAGGCTGGTATCGAACTCCTGACCTCAGGTGATCCACCTGCCTTGGCCTCCCAAAGTGCTGGGATTACAGGCATGAGCCACCATGCCCAGCTTCACCATTGTTTTATTAAAAATTTCATTAAAATATTTCAATGTCAAAAAAGCACGGAGGCTGGATGCTAGGGCTCATGCCTGTAATCCCAGGAGTTCAGGACCAGCCTGGGCAACAAGGCAAGATCCTATCTCTACAAAAAAATTTAAAAACATTAGCTGGGCGTGGTGGTACACGACTGTGGTCCCAGCTACTGGGAAGGTTGAGATGGAAGGATTGGCTGAGCTTAGAAGGCTGAGACTGCAGTTAGTCGCAACTATGCCATTGCACTCCAGCCTGGGTTGACAAGCGAGACCCTAGCTCAAAAATTATTTTTTAAAAAGCAGAGACATCCCTCAATAAAGGTATTTAAAGTACTTTCTTCTTTTTTAAAAATTTTAATTTTTAGAGATGAGATCTCACTGTTGCCCAGGTTGGCTTCCAACTTCTAGGCTCAAGCAGTCCTCCCACCTCAGCCTCCCAAGCAGCTGGAACTACAGGTGCATGCCGCCACACCTGGCCTCCAAAGTACTTTCTCTTTGTTTGTTTTTTTTTACCAGAGACGGGGTTTCACCATGTAGGTCAGGCTGGTCTTGAACTCCTGACCTCAAGTGATCCACCTGCCTTGACCTCCCAAAGCGCTAGGATTACAGGTGTGAGCCACCGCACCTGGCCAGTACTTTCTTAATTCCCTAAGCTTTTATCAATATCTATACTTATATTTTTAAAACTTATACTAAAGGCCAAGCGCAGTGGCTCATGCCTGCAATCCCAGCACTTTGGGAGGCCAAGGCAGGCAGATCACGAGGTCAGGAGTTCGACACCATCCTGACTAACACGGTGAAACCCTGTCTCTACTAAAAATACAAATAATTTGCTGGGCATGGTGGCACGCATCTGTAATCCCAGCTACTCAGGAGGCTGAGGCAGGAGGATCACTTGAACCCAGGAGACAGAGGTTGCAATGAGCAGAGATCACGCCACTGCTCTCCAGCCTGGGCAACAGAGCAGGACTCTGTCTCAAAAAAAAAAAAAAAAAAAAGAACTGTAATAATTACCCAGTTTAGACAATAAAGTATATGAACATACAGTAAACATTCTGCCATGGACATAATGATTTATATAGTTTTTAAATCATTACAAGTTGAGTTATAATTTAATTCCCTATTCTTGGTTAAAGATTTCTGATTTCCCCCCTTTATGTTTTCAATGTTTCTTTTGGTTTGTTTTTATTTTGTGAAGGTACATCAGCAATTTTCAATGTTTGTAAGACATATATATATATAATATATTGTGCATTTGTTCTATTATTTTCTCAGTATGAGCCAGTGTTTTTCAAACTGTGCATCATGATTATTTGTTTATTTAAGATAAAGTCTCACTCTGTCACCCAGGCTGGAGTGCAGTGGCATGATACCGGTTTACTACAACCTCCACCTCCCAGGTTCAAGCGATTCTTGTGCCCCAGCCTACCGAGTAGCTGGGATTAGAGGCGCACAACACCATGCCTGGCTAATTTTTAATAGAGGTGAGGTTTCGCCATGTTGGCCAGGCTGGTCTCAAACTCCTGGCCTCAAGAGATCCTCCTGCCTCAGACTCCCAAAGTGCTGGGATTACAGGCGTGAGCCACCGTGCCCGGCCATCATGATTCTTTATTAAGTCATAACTAGCATTTAAAAAGGTTAAGGTAGACTATTTATATGAACACAACAAGTGAATTATTCTTTTTATACCTACTTTTACTTTTTATGGGGGAATATCTGAAGTTGTTAAAAGTTAACATTTAGTGAGTCCTCACAATATGCCAAGATCAGTGCTAAGTGCTTTAATTGTTTTAACTCATTTAATAGTCACCAAAATATTTTTACAGCTCCCAATTTAGAAATGAGAAAACCGAGGCTCAGAGAAATTATGCAAATTAGCCAAGTAGCATACCTGGAGCACAAACTTAGGTTTGTCTCCATAGACAATAATCTTAATTGCTATGTTGTGAGTTACAATTTTCTCCCTAAGCTGTCTGCTGTCAATAGACAAACATTTTTCAGCCATGTAACATCTATATAATTCAATAACAACCCCACCAGTAGAACATGAATTAATGAAATTATAATTAGTCAAATGGCTCCCCCTGCCGGTTGACTCGTGGAATTACAACTTGAGAAAAAGATCCCTCAATTAAAACTGACAGTATGCATTCACAAAAAATTCCTTATTCTCAATAGATCATGTTTTTAAAGAGTAACGAGGAAACAAACTCCAGAAACTATTTCTATTTGAAATACTTCTCAAGGATCTTTTGGGGTATATTTTGGGAAAATAAATTGGAAGTCACTCAAAGTTGAAGAGAGATAATACAACTTGAGAATATGCTACATGTAAAATTTCTCTCGTACAAATATTAGGCTCAGACCACCACAGCTCTGTTGAACAGGCTATGTTCTGAAGATGGCAGGGAAGACTAGCAAATGATACCTTAGCAGCTATACGACCAAGATCCAGAGACTTCGTTCTAAAGCTTCTCAGTTTCTTCCCAGGATAGGTAGTCCCTACGCTGCAACACTTGAGGTAGGTTTCTACCGTATTTTCCTTCTTCCTCTTTTTTGTGAGTATGTGCTTTTCTTGTATCTTTCCCCTCTACTCGAAGGCTTGGATTTTCCTTTAAAAATAGTTGCAAATAAACTATATACAATTTTTTAATTCTTGAGAAGATTATACATTCACATGAATCAAAAAGTATAAAATGCAACAAGATAAGACACATTCCTTTTCTCCCAGCCTCCACAGGTAACCACTTTTACTTGTGGAAACAGAAAAGCATGAGCAGGCAGCAATGCCTTAAATGTGTATGTGCTGAATGGCCTACAAGACCCTCTTCCATCCCTGTGAAGGGGAGGGCTGTCTCCATCTCCTTTCCTGTGACGCTCCTGCTCCTTTTGATTGGTGGGACCTAATACAGACCTTCACTCTGCATCACGTTGGTTCATTTGTGAAGCTGCACCACTGTCTAACAACAGAAAAAACATACGCAATTGGGAAATCAGCTCTTCCAGCTATCCACTTGAAGACCATCCAAACACTCAATGACTTGAAAAGCATTAATTTAAAAAGTATTCACTGAATATCTACTCTGCACTAAAAAGTACAAAGAAAATAATACTTATAATTACTTTAAAGATGGTAATACTTCCCCATATTCTTGAAATCAGGGGTAAAAAACTGTTACACAACAAAACACACAAGTAGTATCTGAATTTTAAAGATGTTGCTTTCATTTTCCCCCACTCTGTGTCCCCAAAATGAAAACGATTTGCTCATCTTCCAAATAATGGATTTATCTTAGCAAAAAGTACTAGCATCATGCTGCAAGCAGTAAAGGAAATAAACTACCTCGTTCTTCAGGTGAGAGGTCACTATCCTCCTCTCCACTGCTTTCTTGTTCCTGAATCCGATACTTTGGCTCCAAGCCTTCAGCAGCAGCTAACCTATGCAACCATCACGTAAAAAGACATTAACAGTGATGTTTTGGTATTATTTAAGAGCCTTATTCAACTGTTCATTCTTACAAAAACATCTGAAGATCATTATGTGCTAGCTATAACCTGATGAGGAAAATAAAAAGCAAGAGAGCAGAAATGGGCTGGGCATGATGGTACACGCCTGTGGTCCTAGCTACTCGGAAGGCCGAGGTGGGAGGACTGGCTAAACCCAGGAGTTTGAGGTTGCAATGAGCTGTGATTGCGCCTCTGCACTCCAGCCTGAGTGACAGAACAAGGCCCTGTCTCAAAAAAAAAAAAAAAAAAAGGAATAAAAAGAGTAGAAATGGGCATAGAAACGAGTAAGCAACAAGAACAGTGGAATGGGTGTTAGAAATCAATAAGCAGTAAAGGAAGAGTGCTTTCATGAATTAACTTATGTTTGCCTTTCTCACTGCTACCTTTAAAAACAGGAGGCAGGGGCCAGGCATGGTGGTTCACCCCTGTAATCCCAGAACTTTGGGAGGCTAGGCCGGTGGATCTCTTAAGATCAAGGGTTCAAGACCAGCCTGGCCAATATGGCAAAACCCCGTCTCTACTAAAAATACAAAAAGTAGCCAGGCGTGGTGGCATGTCCCTGTAACCCCAGCTACTACTGGGGAGGCTGAGGCATGAGAACTGCTTGAACTTGGGAGGTGGAGGTTGCAGTGAGTTGAGATCACACCACTGCACTCCACCCTGAGTGACAGGGCGAGACTCTGTCTCAAAAAAATAAAAATAAAAACATCCACAAGGAAGTGACACATTTCAGTATCCCAAGTTCAGGTAAGCTGGTCTTCCTGCCACCTACATACCTTGATTTTAATCAAGAGACAAGATGATAAAAGTTGGTGACTCAGAAGGTGAAAAAAGGGGAAAAAAAGGAAAAAAAAGTTGGCATAAAAAAGTTGATAAACAGCCTTTTCTTTCTGCTTATACAGGAAAAGCAATGTAGAATGCTTTTAACTCTGCATAATTAAAAACAGCCTAAGTGAAACTGTGCTCCAGTCATTAGTACTTACTTCTTGGCTAAGATGTCTGGCGCCATGGCTTCAGTGGTCTCAGTGTCACTACACGCATCTTCATCATCACCCATCATACTAGTATGACAAGCATATTGTAATTAATACCTGAAACATAAATTTTCAGCCACAAAAACAAGGTAGAAAAACAATTCTATCAACCTACTTAACATATCAATGTATTTATAGCTCTGTTGTTATCTTTGAGGTTTAACTTTATATAGTTCCTATTCAATACAAATACTTAAAAGTATAGCACCCAATCAAGAAAAGACTCCAAATGATTGAAAAAAAATAACAAATACAGTCTGCCTGCGATATCCATAGGATCCACATCCATAAATTCAACCAACTGTGGATTGAAAATAGCCGGAGAAAACAAAAATTTCAGCTGTACTAAACATGTAGGCTTTTTTAATATCATTATTCCCTAAATGGTACAGTAACAACTATTTGCATAGTATTTACATTTTATTAGGTAATATAAGTAACCTAGAGATGATTTAAAATATAAAGGAGGATGTGCATAATTATATACATCTACAATGCCATTTTATATCAGAGACTTGACTGAGGATTTTGGTATCTGAGGGAGGTCCTGAAACCCCCATGGATAATGAGGAAAAACTGTACTGAAAACATAAATGATCTGGAAAAAAAAAAACACTACAAAGTTCCAATTATTTCATCCAGTGGGAAGGAACAAGTAATGCAAAGTAATTCACTGTCTGGTTTTAGAACATGCATTTCTACATCAATCTTAAGATAGAAACAAATGATCTATGCAGATACAAGACTGAGTGAAATAACAAAATTATATCCCAAAGACCTAGTTCTGGAAGTTTACAAGTGATTTAGCTTTCTCACTCTACCCTCTAATGAAAAATTTGCTCCACACTTCAGTGCAAAAATGGGCATCCTTAATTCTTAAGCCACTGGGAAGTATATAAAGCAGAACTCCGCTATTTATAAAATACTGCCAGTTTATACATTTCCTGGTTAATGAAGGTGACAAGTCCTACAGTTTAGATGATGCTCTTTTTTTCTAAGGGAAGTTGAAATAAACTGATCTATATTATTGAGTTTAATTAAGCAGAATAGGGTAAAATAAACATTTTGTTAATTCATAGAATTGTTGTATAGAAAATTCTAGTTGTAAAATTTACTGAATTATGTTTATATATATACATGTATATAGAAGCAATAACTTCTTGTATACTAACTGTAAGATTCTTAGGTAATAAGACATGATGTTTCTATAAAAAGTATCTTCAGTTAAATAAAACTTTTTTTTTTTGAGACAGGGTCTCACTCTATCACCCAGGAGTGCAGTGGCACCATCATGGCTCACTACAACCTCGACTTCCCGGGCTCAAGTGATACTCCCACCTAAACCTCTTGTGTAGCTGGGACTCCAGGCATGTGCTACCATTCCTGGCTTAATTCTTTTTATTTTTTGTAGAGACAGGGTCTCTCTATGTTGCCCAGGCTCATCTCCAATTCCTGAGCTCAAGCAAACCTCCCACCTCAGCCTCCTAAAGTGCTGGGATTACAAGGGTGAGCTACCATGGCTGGTCAAATAAAACTCTCAAAAAGAAAAAAAAAGTCATGGAAAGAAATGATAAAACCGAGTGATGAACTGATAAAAGCAGGACACAGGTATCTCTGCATACACACAGCCTCAATTACTTAGGGACCAAATAACTTCTCTGGTTATTTGAATGGCAAATATCTACCATTCAAATTATATTTATAAAAAGTCAAAAAATAATGGCCATAGCTATTTTGAAAATCTTTTTTTCTTTTTCTTTGGAGACAAGGTCTCCCTCTGTCATCCAGGTTGGAGTGCAATGATGTGATCATGGCTAACTGCAGCTTCAACCTCCTGGGCTCAAACAATCCTCCTGCCTCAGCCTCCTAGGTAGCTGGGACTACAAGTACACACCACTACCTCTGGATAATTTTACTTATTTTATTTGAGACAGTTTCGCTCTGGTTGCCCAGGCTGGAGTGCAATGGCGCGATCTCAGCTCACTGCAACCTCTGCCTCCCAGGTTCAAGTGATTGTCCTGCCTCAGCCTCCCGAGTAGTTGGGATTACAGGCGCCCACCACCACACCTGGAAATTGTTATGTATTTTCAGTAGAAACAAGGTTTCACCATGTTGGCCAGGCTGGTCTTGAACTCCTGACCTCAGGTGATCCACCTGCCTCGGCCTCCCAAAGTGCTGGGATTATAGGCATGCACTGCTGCGCCTAGCCAAATTTTTAAAATTTTTTTGTGGAGGTAAGAGTCTCACTCTGTTGCCCAGGTTGGTCTTGAACTCCTGGGCAAGAGTTCTTTGGGGAAGGGCGTGGTGGCTCATGCCTGTAATCCCAGCACTTTGGGAGGCTGAGGCAGGTGGATCACTTGAGGTCAGGAGTTCGAGACCAGCTTGGCTAACATGGTGAAACCCTGTCAATACTAAAAATACAAAAATTAGCTGGGCGTGGTAGTGGGTGCCTGTAATCCCAGCTACTTGGGAGGCTGAGGCACGAGAATCTCTTGAACCTGAGACACAGAGATTGCAGTGAGCCGAGATTGTGCCACTGCTCTCCAACCTGGGTGGAGAAAAAAGAGTTCTTTGGGAGGCTAAGTGATCCTCCTGCTTCAGGCTCCCAAAGTGCTGAGATTATGTTGACCCACTGCAGCTGGCATCAACTATTTTTCTAAATCATGTCTGATCTTAATTCTCTTAGGATACTTATCCCCAACTAACACAAGTGAGGACGGCCACTACATTTAATAAAAAGAAAGAACACTGTGATTTTGGATTCTGGCACAATAAAGGTTTTAACACATGTTTTAGAAGTCAGGTACGCTGGTGTGTGCCCACAGTCAGCTACTTGGGAGGCAGAGGAGGGAGGATCACTTGAGTCGGGAGTTCCAGGCTGTAGTGTGCTATGACTGTGCCCGTTAATAGTCACTGCACTGGGTAACATAGCGAGATCTTGTATCTTTATTTTTTTTTGGAAGATTTTTAAAGTATATACCTGCAATTTAGGAGAAAAATAAGAATATAAACCTCTTTTTAACATGCGTATTTTTTTTTAACTAATTGTAATTTTATTGTTTTTCCTCCCCTCTATTTTTATTTCAATAGGTTTTTGGGAAATAAGTAGTGTTTGGTTACATGGGTAAGTTCCTCAGTGGTGACTTCTGAGATTTTGGTGCACCCATCACCCGAGCAATGTACACTGTACCCAATGTGTAATCTTTTATCCCTCTCCCCGCTTCACCCCTCCCACCCCATCCCCAAAGTCCACTGTATCATTCTTATGGCTTTGTGTCCTCATAGCTTAGCTCCCGCTTATAAATGAGAACATATGAGGTCTGGTTTTCCATTCCTGGGTTACTTCACTTAGAGTAATGGTCTCCAACTCCATCCAGGTTGCTGTGAATGCCATTATTTTGTTCCTTTTTATATATATTTCATGGTATATACATATATACCATAAAAAATGTGTATTTTTTCACTCAGATTTCATTAGTATTGAGTTTCAGCATCTGTACCTATTTCATTATTTCATGTTTTTTATTTTTACTGTTTTTGTTAGTAACAGGTTATTTCAAATTATCTTCCAAAGTCTTCACCCACTGACTTAAAATACAGTAGTTCTTAACTCTTTCTTCTTTCATTACAGAACAAATGGAAAACTGCAGTTAACTCTATTTTAATGGTAACTTCTGGATTTATGCTGTGTCTTAATTCAATGACAAAATATTTTAATCTTGGAAATCTTTTATTTTTTTCAATACAAGGTAGGTAGGGCATAACTTTTTTCTTTCCTTTTTTTTTTGTAGACAGAAAGAGTCTTACTATGTTGCTTAGGCTGATCTTGATCTCCTGGCCTGAAGCAATATTCCCACCTCTGCCTCTGTAATCTCAAAGTGCTGGGAGTACAGGCATGAGTCACCATTCCCAGCCAAGGTATTATCTTTTTTTTTGTTTGTTTGTTTGAGACAGTGTTTTGCTCTTGTTGCCCAGGCTAGAGTGCAATGGCGCGATCTTGGCTCACTGCAACCCCCGCCTCCAGGGTTCAAGCAATTCTCCTGCCTCAGCCTCCCGAGTAGCTGGGATTACAGGCGCCCGCCACCAAGCCCAGCTAATTTTTGTATTTTTTTTTTCAGTAGAGATGGGGTTTCACATGTTGGCCAGGCTGGTCTCGAACACCTGACCTCAGGTGATCCGCCCGCTTCGGCCTCCCAAAGTGCTGGGATTACAGGCATGAGCCACAGCGCCCGGCCCAAGGTATTACCTTAATTAGGTATCTATACTTATTTAGAATCTTCATCTTCTCATAATGCTTATTGCATTATTTTTGTCTTCATACTCGTTACTGCTGCATAATGTAATTTCACAATTCGTTTAGAAAATTCTGAGACTTGAAATTGCCAAAAATTACATGTAATATCTGAACAACAGTATTACATTAAGTTAAAAAATAAAGACATAAACAGTAATAATGACCACCTATCTTTCAGTGGGTTAAAAATGAGTTACCATCCATGCAGTTATGCTTCTCTGCAAAGAGACTGAGTAAACCCCAGATTTCTACTTGGGAAGCAAACAAGCCCCTATCTCATCTTCCTTTCATGGAAGTTAAAACTAATATGTGCACTATTAGTAGCTAGCAACCACTGAGGTGCAACAAATAAACATTTACTACTATCATTATAATGTAAAGAATGGGTTCCATAATTTTAAAGTTAGACATCACTTATACAATTACTAAACAAATTGCAGTTAGGTTACTGAATTCACCAGTGCTCCAGTAACAAATCTACAATAAAACAAATTCAAATACGCTAATCTACAATAAAACAAATTCAAATAAGCTGTTATCCAGAAGTTCATATTAAATGTAAAATGGAAGTAAGTCACAAGAGGAATGATATCGATGTGACATTACCTATGGTAAGGAGTGCTTGGTTCATCTATTTTCATTAAACCATAGTCTTTGTCGGCTGGATGATATGTCGCCAAGATGTTCATTTCATCCCACTTCTGGGATTTTTTGCTAAAATTAAAAAGAAAAAACGTTTTTCCCAATGCAGAAAAAGATAAACCTGAACATCAAAATTCACAAATGTTCAAATTTCACATTTCAACTTCTATTTGATGGCTAACCTTTATTTTCACATATACTTTCTTAGAATAGAAGCTGACTCAGGGTAAAAACCATTAAGTAACTACAATAAAATGTCAGTAAATATAGAACACTTACTGCCCAAATATTAAAAACACAGTATTTAGTATCTATATCAGGCATTCAAAACATTACTATGACGTGCTTAGTCTTCATTTGGCCTATAAAATAATGCAAGTCAAAATCTATACATTCGCTGATGACAGTAGGCATTTTTGATCTATATACCAGTAACTGTTTGGTAAAAAAACACAACAGGAGTATTTCATTGGCATAATTTCTTTCTGAGATATCTGTTAACAGTCAGAACATAAAGATTCAAAGCATAAAACTACAGAGAAAACCTCATCAAACTCAGATACCACTAAATCATTAGATTGCAAATAAATTACAGCTCTGTTTATTTCTAATCTAGAAAAATAAAGGTGTGCTCAGGAATGGTGTATTCAGATTTATTTGAAGAGCAACAGAAGTTCTCTATAAGTACTCCATTATTTTTGTTTTGTTTTGAGATGGAGTCTCACTCTGTTGCCCAGGATGGAGTGCAGTGGCATGATCTCGGCTCACTGCAACCTCCACATCCCCGGTTTATGTGATTCCCCTGTCTCAGCCTCCCCAGTAGCTGGGATTACAGGCGCGCACCACCACGCCTGGCTAATTTTTGTATTTTTAGTAGAGATGGGGTTTCACCATGTTGGCCAGGCTGGTCTTGAACTCCTGACCTTACGCGATCTGCCTGCCTGGGCCTCCCAAACTGCTGGGATTCCAGATGTAAGCCACGGTGCCTGGCCTATAAGTACTTTAGAAACATCTGTTAAATTTCATGCAATGAAGTATTTAAACAACTATTAAGTTGCTCAATACTCAAATGCTTTAATTTTAAATTCTTACATACTCATTAAAAAAGACCTCAAAGACCTTTCTATACGCCAACATTATTTTGTTACATATACAGTTTGTTACTTAGTATGCACTTGGAAAAACCTGCTTTAAAAAAAATCAATGTAAATGTTACACTGATTTAAATAATCCTTTCTGCATTTGGTCTAAATTGTTAAGGTTTTACTGTAGGTATTTTCAATTTTCCAGATCCTGAAATAGTCTTTAGGAATAACATACTTAACATTTTAATAACATATTCCCTTCTCCATACTCTCAAAATGGTTTGATGAGTTACCTTAAAAAATTACAGCCGGGCACAGTGGCTCATGCCTGTAATCCCAGCACTATGGGAGGCCAAGGCAGGAGGATTACAGGAGATCGAGACCATCCTGACTAACATGGTGAAACTCCGTCTCTACTAAAAATAGAAAATTATCTGGGCGTGATGGCGGGCGTCTGTAGTCCCAGCTACTTGGGAGGCTGAGGCAGGAGAATGGCGTGAACTCGGGAGGTAGAGCCTGCAGTGAGCCAAGATCGCGCCACTGCCCTCCTGCCTGGGCGACAGAGCCAGACTCCGTTTCAAAAAAAAAAAGAAGAAAAAAAAAATTATACAGGCAGGTGACTTCATATTCTTTTGCTTTCTACCCTAATATACCCACTGTGTCCCCATTTTTGACTAAGAACTTTTTTCCTTCATTTTTAAAAACTGTGGTAAAACATACATAACATAAAATCCACCATTTTAACCTTTTTGTGTTTTGGTTAATCTTCCCTGTATCATTCCAATTTTAGCATATGTGCTACTGAAGTAAGCACTAGCCATTACGAAGTGTACAACTCTACGGCATTAAGAACATTCACATCATTGTGCAAGCATCACCACCATTCATCTCCAGAACTTTTTCGTCTTCCCCAAGTGAAACTGTACTCATTAAGTACTAACTCTCCACTCTCCCCAGTCCCTAGACCTGGCAACCACCATTCTACTTCTCATCTCTAGAAATGTGACCACTCTAGGTACCTCACAGAAGCGAAATCATAAAGTATTTGTCCTTTCGTGACTGGCTTATTTCACTAAGCATAATGTCTTCAAGGTTCATTCATATTGTAGCATGTGTCAGAATTTCTCTTTTTTTAAGAGCCTGGGTCTTACTCTGTCACCCCAGGCTGGAGTAAAGTAGCATGATCATAGTTCACTGCAGTCTCGAACTCCTGGGCTCAAGTGATCCTCCTGCCTAGCCTCCTGACTAGGTGGGACCATTGGTATGCACTACCATGCCCAGCTAACTTTTCTTTTCCTTTTTTTTTTTTTTTATTTTTTTTTTTACAGGTGGGTCTTACTATATTGTCAGGCTCGTCTCAAACTCCTGGCCTCAAGCAATTCCCCGGGCTCAGCCTCCCAAAGTGCTGGGATTACAGGTATGAGCCACCACACCTGGCCCTAATCAAATTAATATGTCTTTAGTATTTGAAAAAAGTCACCTGCCAGGAGTGGGCCTGTGTAATTTTTAAGGCAACTCATCACACTCTTCTGGGACTGAACTAGACTGGGTAAACAGGGCTTGCTTTAACAATATTGATTTCTTTAAATGCCTAGGCTTCTGCCTATCACAGTAATAGTTGAGCTTGTGGCAAAAAACAAAAAACAAACTTAATTGGGAGACAGACATTGAAGGTTCAGGTTTCAGTTACCCTTTACCTATAGAGAAGCAAAAAAACATCTTCTCTTGGACTCTATTTATAGTTGACCCTTGAATGTTATGAGTTTGAACTGTGTGGGTTCACTTATATGCAGATTTTTTTCAAAAAATCTGCTGGAAAATTTTTTGGAGGTTTGCGACAATTTGAAGAAACTCAGATAAACCACATAGCCCAGAAATATTTAAAAAAAACTTAAAAGTTAGTTATGTCAGTTATGTCATAAGTGCAAAATATATATGTAGAGAACAGTCTCCTTTATCATTTACTACCATATTAACAAGCCTAGTTAAAATGTAAAGTTAAAATTTATCAAAACATGCACATACAACACGTGGTGCCTCTGCAGTTGGATCCTAACTGCATAAACTTAACTACAGTACATACTATTCTGTGTCACAATTTCATAGCCATCTCTTGTTGCTACTGCGGTCTCCTCAAGTGTTGCAAGTTTGCTTAAAATGCTCTATGATGCAGCCAGGCACGCCTGTAATCCCAGCCCTATGGAAGGCTGAGGCGGGTGGATCACTTGAGGTTAGGAGTTCGAGACCAGCCTAGCCAACATGGTGAAACCCCGTCTCTACCAAAAATACAAAAAATTAGGCATGGTGGCTTGCGCTTGTAATCCCAGCTACTCAGGAGGCTGACGCAGGAGAATCGCTTGAACCTGGAAGCCGGGGTTGCAGCGAGCCAAGATCATGCCACTGCACTTCAGCCTGGGCAACAGAGTAAGACTCTGTCTCAGAAAAAAAAAAAGCTCTATGACGCTGGTTGTTTCAGTGTGAGTAGTTTGTTGCTCCAATAAATTGCCTATTGCAGTAAAAAGTGATCTCTCTTGGTTTTTGAGTATTTTTTGTCCTGTTTAGTGCAATACTGTACACTCTGAGTAACATCATGGGACCATTACAAAATGCCACTAGAGATGCTGGAAGTGCTCCCAAGAAGCAAAGTTGTGACATTACAAGAAAAAGTTGAATTGCTTGATGAGTACCTTAGATTGAGCTCTGCAACTGTGGTTGCCCATCATTTAAAGAAGAATCCATCATAAAGACCATTGTAAAAATAAAATAAAAGGAAATTCACACAGCTGTCACTGTAGTAGCTACACCAGCATGAAAATCTTGCATATTTTGTGAAATACCTTTTATCTTGTATTGCCAATGCATCTTTTATGTGAGTGCAGGATTGCTACAAGACTATAGACTCTAAAATGATTTGAGAAAAAATGATGTCACTATACAATAACTTAAAGCAAAAAGAAGGTGAAGGATCTAAAGTTGAAGAATTTAATGCAAGCAAACGATGGTTTGATAATTTTAGAAACAGGTTTGGCTTTAAAATGACAAGATAACAGAGAAGCAGCTTCTGCCAACCAACAGGCTGCAGATGAGTTCCCAGAGGCCATTAGGAAAATCATTCATGAGAAAGGGCCAGGTGCAATGGCTCATGCCTGTAATCCCAGTTTGGGAGGCTGAGGAAGGAGGATCTCTTGAGCCCAGGAGTTTGAGAACAGCCTGGGCAACCATAGTGAGACACTATCTCTACAAAAAATGTTTAAAATTAGTCAGGCATGGTGGCGCACACACACCTGCAGTCCCAGCTACTTGGGGGTGGCCTAAAGTGGGAGGATCACCTGAGCCCAGGAGGTCAAGGCTGCAGTGAGCCATCTGCGATTGAGCCACTGTGATCCAGCCTCGGTGGCAAAGTGAGACTGTCCAGAAAAAGAAAAAATTATTAAGGAGAAAGGATATCTGATCTGCCTGTACAGGTTTTTAATGAGAATAAAAGTGCCCTATTCTGCAAAAAAAATGCCAAAAAGGACACTTATTTGTAAGAAAGAGAAGAATGCATCAGGATTTAAGGCAGGAAGAGACAGGTTAACTCTACTGTCTTATGCAAATGCAGTAGGGTTTATGATCAGGACTGTCCTTAACTATAAAGCTGCAAACCCCGGAGCCTTGAAGGGAAAAGATAAACACCAGCTACCAGTCTTGTGGTTGTACAAGGTCTAGACAATGAGAACCCTCTTGGTTCCATCAATGTTCCATAAGGAAATACCTTGCCAATACAGAACTGCTTTTTAAAAAAAAAAAAAAAAAGCGAGACAGGGTATTACTCTATCGCCCAGGCTGGAGTGCAGTGGCACAATCATAGTTCACTGCAGCCTCGAACTCCTGGGGTTCAGTGATCCGACTATGTCAGCCACCTGAGCAGCTAAGGCCATAGGCGCAAGCCACGTGCCTGGCAGTAAAGTACCTTTTAAAGTTGTTTTGATTCTGGACAATGTGTCT